GATTCATGTCTATTTAGGGGCTAAAAGGTCATAACAACATTCCCAGATTTCAGTGCCAGATGTGTCTGTATGGCAGATCATGTAGCCCCAAACTTATTCTAGCATCTGGTTAAACATTCCACATCAGATCTTAACCATACGTAAACATATTTGAGAGCAAGTGAGAAAATAATCTGTTGTCTGCCTCTTTTTTGTTCCATTTACAGTGTAAATAACTATTGTAAAATTACAGATTTATAACTGGATTAACAAGATTAGGTGTCTATTTCTAGGCAATTACCACTTATTTGAGAAGATAATGCTGTGTCTAGAACATATTGCATGCTACATGAGAATGCAAATAGGGGAATAAGGATTCAGAGAGGGAATGATCACTTCTGGTCAGAATAATCAAAGATAACTTTATAGAGGGGATAGAATCATGAGTCTTGAAGAGAATGAAGTGGTTCAGTGGGTGGAGTTGATGGAGAGGATATCTCAGTGGGGTGAGAACAGCAGGGGAAAGAGGAAGAATGAGCAAAAGCAAAGAGCTGGAAAAAGACAGAGGATTTGGGGAGAATAATAGAAAATAAAGATCATGTGGTGAAAGTAATGATAGACACCCTGGAAAATCAGGTTAGGCTAAATTTGAGAGGAACTTGAATCTAAATTATAGAACCTTGTACCATATGCTATTGAATTAAATGTAATGACACATTGAAAGTGATTTTCAAGGAAGACCTTGACAGAAATAGGTAGATGATAGAGTCTGACAATTGATACTAGTTGTAATGGAGCAGATGTAAAAGGTCGGTTATTTTTTCAAAGGAAGACACGATAGGAGCAGGGGCTACCTGTGGAGTTGTAATAGAGGTGGAAGTTAAAGAAGACTGTGGTTTTGGATTTGGATGGGTGAGAGAATAGCAGCATAAGCAGAGAAAACCAAGAACACTAGTCTTACACATAAAGGGTGGATACAACTTTAGATATATTACATTTAAAATGACAATAAGACTTCCAAGTAAAGGTATTCAGTGGACTGTCAGATATGTGATACCAAGTAAAAGTGATGATTGGAAATTCTTGGAGGAAATGAGATTCCCAAAGGATGAAATATGAAGACAAGAATATGATGTCAAAGACAGAACTTTGTTATTCATGTTAGGGAATGAGAATAACAGACCGAGTGTCAGAGGTGGACAATAAACAGTGGAACCTTCTGGAAGTGGGGAATACGGGACATTTTTGCTTTGTTCCTAAGATTTACTCGTTCCCAAATTTAGAGTGGAAGAATTCAGTCTTTCATCATTATGTATGATGTTAGCTGTAAGGTTTTTATGGATGCACTTTAAAAGGTTAAGGAAGTACCCTTCTGTTGGTAGTTTACTGAGAAATTTTAGCATGAATGAATGTTTCAAATGGTTTTTCTGCATTTATCAAGATGACTGTTTTTTCTTTTTTAAACTTTTGATATAATGAATTGCACCGATTAATTTTCTAATGTTGAACCAACTCTGCATGGTCATGTTATATTATCCTTTTTTTAAAAAATATATCACTGGGTTGTATTTGCTAATATATATTTTTAAGAAATTTCATCTAGGCCCATGAGAGATATCGATCTGTAGGTTTTCTTATAAAGTTTGAATTTGGTATCAAGGTACTACTAGTATCAAAAAATGAGTTGAGAAGTACTCTCTCCTTTTTTACTTTCTAGAAGTGTGTTTTGAAGGATTGGTATTATCTCTTCCTTAAATATTGATAAAATTCCAAATGAAAGCACTTTGGCTTAGACTTTTCTTTGTAGGAGAGTTTTTTACCAATGAGTAGATTATAGGGCTTCAGAGTATCTGTTTCTCTGAATTAGTTGCCGGTTTGTGTCTTTCGAGGACTCTGTTTCTCATCTAAATTATTCAAGGTTTTTTTGCATCAAGGTGTGCATAATATTATTAACCTTTTGATGTCTGTAGGATCTATTTTAATATTTCTCTTTCATTTACATCTATTTGTTTTCTACTTGTTCCATCTAAGCCTTATTTTGTTTTTCTCTTTTCAGGTTTTCTTTTAGATTAAGTGTATTTTATGATTCCATAAAGTAGATATTATTTAGGATAGAAAAAAGGCAAGATGTGAGTGCTCATGTATCTTAGCTGAAATTTTCTTAATAAAATGAGATGTATGATCATAAACTGAGAGATGTTGGCATCTTGCACAGAGAAGGTTTAGAATATCTGTCTTGGGAGGCCTCCTGAGAAAACAGCAAGGATTTCCAAGCATTAGAAGGGGCCCAGCTGAAGTAGACATGTAACTAATAATACTATTTTGATAATTAATCTGAAGGTATGTCTCCAAATAGCCCACAAAAATTGGGTAATGTGAAAAAAAATATAATGGAATTACAGTGGTGGTTAGGCTATTTCATATTTTGATTTTAGTTTTAATCAAATCTGTTCATGTTTTCTTTTAAGAAGGTTGAAGATATCAGCTTTTTTAGACAATTACATTTTTCCAGGAATTTAGAACTTTGACATGATTGGGAGCTGTCTTTCCTAAATAGTGAACACGCAGTGATTTACACAGGGCAGATGAGCTCAAGGATTTTTAATGTGACCTGAGTGAAGTTTCTCCCATTTTCTTTCTTATAGCTAAGTTATATGAAAAGCCAGAAAAAGGTGGGCTAGCTGGAAGGAATCGGTGTTGGTGAATGGAAATAGAACGAATGGAAAATTGGCAGGCCAGCCAGATATTTTGTGGGACTAATGGTTTTGGAAACATATTTGCAAGACTAGGATAATTATTCTTCTCTTTGAACTGATTACATTCTGTATTGTATTCTCTTTGTTTGTAAAAACCGTGATTACTTGAATTGTGTAATGAAATGTGAGCTTAGTGAAAAGGCACAGTTAGTTTATCTAAATCCTTTTTGTCCATAGGCATTGCTATTTCATTTATATATTTAAAATCCTTGTGATTACAAGTGGGAAAATAACAGTATCATAGGAATATTTCATTTGAATTGGTTTTACAATTACAGCCCGTTCTCAGAATAATTTTTTGATAAACCCCAACTTTAGCAATAGGAAAAGTAACATTTTATGTGAAAAATCTTGATATAGATATTTTCTGTAGACAGAAAAATAAACTAACCCTTACTTTTCCAGAAGTGGCCACTACGCTGTAGAACAGATTGCTTGTATTTGAATACTGGCTATACTGCTGTTCACAAACTGTGTGGTCCTGGGCAAGGTGCTTCACCTCTTGGTGCTTCAGTGTCTTCATCTGTGAAATAGAGTTTTATCTCATAGACTTCATATGAAGACTAAATGAGTTTAATACATGTAAATTGCCTAAACCAGGCCTGGTGCATCATATATATTCAGTAATTTGTAGTTACTAGAGTGAAAAAAGGTTAGTTAGGCACTGAGCATTGCCAATAATGTGGGGTTTGAACAATATCTAGATCTGGGACTCTGGGTGTGCCAGATTTACACACACTTGATAACTACCTTAGAAAGGTAGTAGGAATAAAAATGACAAATGCCATCCATTTGAGTGTGACATTTATAGACAATTTAAGGTTTTTTCTTCTATACTGTATTTTCTCTGCCAATCATTTCTTCAAATGTTATGTTAGTGTTAGTAAAAGTCGTTATAATTATGTTTCAGCATGTATATTCTAAATCAACTCTTTGTGACTTATTAAAATTATGTACTGAAAAACCAGTATAATTAAAGCAAAATATGTGTCTTCTCTAAGAGATGAAAATTAATAAGATTTTTATAACTCTCAACATAGTAAGCTACTGATAAAAGGCATAGAGAAATATTTTGGAAAAACAAACAAACTGTATTGCAAAAGAGGGGATGAAATGATCATTGAATGGCCACTAACCCTGGTAAGCAGTTTTTTCTCTCATATGCTATTTCGTTTATTAATCTTTCAAAATCCATAAATAGGTCTGTATTACCCCCATTGTACTCATGTTAGAACAAAAGCTCACAGAGTTTGACTTCAACAGTTCTTCAGGGCATTTAAAGGTAGAGTTGTGGGTCAGATCCCGGTCATTTTATTTCAAAGCCCATGCCCTCCCCACTGCATCTGTCTGCCTCCTGGAAGGGATCTGTATGCCATTGAACAATTTAAGTACAAAAATTATAGCTGATCCACAAAAACAAAACTTCCCTGGTTTTTTAATATTTTGTATTTCAACTAATTTCTTTTCTTATTTTTCATTGCATTTCATTTTAATAAGCATATACCATTAAGCTTATACTACAACAACCTATCACCTCAGGATGGGTCTCCTTGCTTTTAGGAGAGTGGAAGGGAAGGTCCATCATGGGAATAGTGGAAAAAGTGCCAACCTTGGGGCTGGTTCTGGCTTTTTCATGAACTAGTTATTTTACTTTTGGGGAAGGCATTTCACAGTGTTGAAGTTCCTCTTTTCATTTGCACAATATATGAAAAGTACTCAGTGATCTTGAATGTTCCTTTATTCCATCTCTTTTGATGCACTGTGGTATTACACAATAGACTAGTGGTTACCAGAGGGTGGAGGGGGAGGGGAGGGATAGGTGGGGTAAAAGAGGTCAAATATGTGGTGACAGAAAGAAATCTAACTATGGGCAGTGAACACACAATGCAATATATATATATATATATATATATGCTTTACTATTGAATTGTACACTTGAAACTTAGTGGATTTCATTAATTACTGTCGCCATAATAAAAGAAACAAACAAATTACTTAAATAAATGAATTTTAAAAAAATCCACATTGCCTTTTCCTGAAGGGCAGGAAGTTCAAATATGGACCAATTTCCTAGGGAATTGATTCCCTAGTTGGGAATCCAGCCCCTTGGAAATTTCCAGGTTTTGAAAAATGACTATAGACATAGGATTTTGTAATAAGCAAACCCAGTATCAGTTTTTTAAGGTCCTGTAAATACTCTTAATCTAAATTCTTTTCCCTCCAAATTTAGGATATCCTGATTTTTCTTTTTCATATTTTCCACAGGATTATTTTACAAATGCAAATAGAGAGTTGAAAAAAGACGATCAGCAAGATTATCACCTAGAATATGCCATGGAAAATAGCACACACACAGTAATTGAATTTACCAGAGAACTGCATACATGCGACATAAATGACAAGACCATTACGGTAAGAAGCCTCTGAGTGAATGCACTCATGATAATTTATATTTACTGTTGTGAAACCCTTTACAGAATAAAAGGAACAGCTATTTAAAAATAACCTTGACAACGAAGTCACAATTCTTTTTGGGAATATTTTAAAATTTTCTTTATAAGCCACACAAAAAAAATTCTGAGACAATAAATATCAGTAAAGGCAATTTTTTTTGTGAGCGAATCTAAAATTTTGAAGAGCTGTTTAAAATGTGTATGACTTGACTTATAAAAGATTTTTAGCTTCTTTATAAAGTTTGAAAATAGACAATAGATAAAGGTTGTAAGAAATATATTGCATAAGAGAATTATGATACTGAATATTAGTATATAATTCATCTGATTTGTAACTGATTCATCTTTGTAAATTTCTGAAAAATTAAGATGAATAGTAGACTGATTAAAATCGCTCATCAACATATTATACAAGATTTCTTACTGTCAGACTTCATGCAAAAATTAATATCTTTATGCATATGCAAATTAAATATTTAGAGAGTGTATAATTCATGTGGTACTTTGGAATTTTCCACGAATTTCTTGGCTCAATTTTATTTCGTATAGACCAATAAAATTATTATTTTTTATTTAGTAAATCAAAGCTTTAAAATGGGAATGCAGAAATCTGAAGCCGTTTCATTAACATTCAACCTAAAGAGTAAAAAAGGAAGGAAAAAACACATACAAAGACATGGATCACTTTTTATGTAATATACAGTGTAATTATACTTTAATTGGAATAATAATTACAGTCATTTGACTTATTAAGAAAGAATATAGCTTTTAAAATAAGTAGCTTTTGCTTTATTATTTATTTTCAAAGTTCTTATTACAAAGGTCTGGCAAAGGCACCTTTATCTGTGGGAGGACTGAACAATTTCTTTATACTCCAGCAAACTCTCCCCCTTTCCCCACCACCCTTTGGGCAATTTCTTTTGGTTGCTAAATGGAAACCAATTTCACCTGACAATACTTTTTCTAGCTGGGATACCACAGTCCCTTGGAAAGTCCTAGGATTTATAAAATGACTGTTAGATTCTAGGATAATAACCCAATCCAGAATCAGAAGTTCCTCCTATATTTGAATTTTATGTAAATTCATACATGTGACTGAGAAAAATCTATTGTGAAAGTAAAAACTCTGACTTGGAACATAATTTTAATTTTCATTGTATTTACAATGAAATGTTTCATAGTATTCGAACAGGTTTTAATTTCCCCAAATCCCTGTTGCTTAACAAGAATATTTGCTTGGTGACTACCAGTTGCTAGTTTGGAGGTTTAGCGTGACGATGATTTGCTGTTTCTGTGTACATGAAAGCATAACTCCTAAGTCAGTCATCCTTCACTCTGTTTTGGAACATAGAATCGTGCGTGCTGAGAGAGACAGTTTCTTCCCCCTCAAAACTTGTCTATTTGGATACTTAATGACTTAATCAGATTTACACAATTATCGTTAGAGAGCATATTGAGAACTCCAAATGTCACTATTCTCTTTTCTTCACTTCTATATCTTGCATTATTTATTTATTTTGTTATTTTTTATTTATTTATTTTTTTATATCCTGCTTTAAATAGAATTCTTTAAACTCAACTTAGTGATAAGGGAAGTTCTCTCATGAGACATAATCATGCCTATGTCTGATCACCAGGAGAGCACTATGAGGGTGATCTGGGCCTATCATCATGAAGATGTGGGAGAAGCTGGTCCCAAGTACCACAGCTCCAATCGTGGCACCAAGAGTCTAAGATTGTTGAATCCTGAGAAAACCAATGTGTTATCTACAGCCATACCATACTTTGACCTGATAAATCAGGACGTAAGTTTTTTTGTGTTTTATGACTGGAAGGGTGGGTTTTTTGAAAGCGTTTAAGAGTTTTTACATACATTGTTGTATTTAATAGCTTGTCTAGAGAATGTGACTTTGTGTTCACCTCTCCTTTTTATTAAGACAGGTCCTCATCCCAAACAAAGGTACAACGTATTGGTGTCAAATGTTTAAGATTCCTGTGTTCCAGGAAAAGCATCATGTAATCAAGGTATGTGATTTACTCACAGGCTAAACTTAATTTGTATGAATGGAGGAAAAATTGTAGTTCTTAAAATTAAATGATAAAAAATACATAGAAATTATTTTCAGTCATATGAAAGTTATTTAGCAAGCAAAGAACTAGTTTATCTGACACTCACTGTCTTAAGCGTCACTGAATTTAGGGAGAAGGCTTGGATTGTAGCTAGTATTTGGGGTTTGTCTCCTAATTTTACATGTTAAAGGTAAAAGTTTTGGGATGCATTTGAACTCCTCTAGTTATTTCTTAGACAACACTTTTATAATTGGAATTGTTGGAATTGCAATTTAAAATATTTACCTATTGATAAATTATGTCCAGGAAAGTTACATTCCCCACCAGAATTTTTTGAGAATATCTGCTTTATTGAAAATACAGTAGTATTTTCAATATGAATATTCTCATAAAAATTTGTTACAGTATTTTTTGAAACTAGAAAAATGAGAAAATTAGTGAATTTCTACAGAATTAAAAAATAAAGAATTGTGTAATAAATAAGCCCAGTTTGCCTGTGGTATATGATTCCCTCCCACTCCTCCAAGGATAGGTCTCCCAAAACTTTTGCATCTAGTTAGTGAATGAACAAGGATTTTAAAAAAACTTACGGCCCTTGGCTCCATGCTAGGGGTTGTTTGGCAGTTCCACAGAGGATTTCCACGGTCTCCAAGAACCTACAGTGAGATTATAGGAGATGGGACCAAGACAGGAGAGTATAAGACAGAATTAAATAGTACATATGAAATATCATAAACATTCAGCAGGCCAAACATTGCCCTCAGACTATGTAATGAAGCAGTGCGGATGTGAGAAAGGAGCGAACTCTTAGATTCTGGAATCTAGAGGAAAATATGGGGGATCACTGCGTGAATTGACTGTGTGCTCTCAGTTCAATTGCTTTGGGGTAATACCGTAGGCCCTAATTTCCTCATCCTAAAAGGCGGTCATCATAATACTCTCACTACCGGCCTCAAAGCATTTGGGCAGAGTTGGAAACACTGAGTACATTCTACAAGGTGATTTAAATTTATTAATTTCTAATATATTTGTCCAGTGGCACAGACCTGCCTTTCATTTGTAGAATGATTCATAACTACCTAGAGAGGCAAGCGGAGCAGGTTGAGAGAAGGTTTATTCAGTTAGTTTTTCTAAATATTTGTGGAATATTTTTGTAATCAGAAGACTCACCGACAATATGACTGCAGATTAGTCATTTACCTCTCTGCAATGTTTTCTATTTCTTGCATTTTAAAGAGGAATGCGAATTCTAGCCTTATGTATTAATACAGTGCCTAAGTCTTTTCCTTGTACCAATGAAAAGTCTCAGAAAAGAGAATGTTATATTTATACATACTCTGAGTCATATATTACTGTGTGTCATTTGCAGTAAATTCAATTGGAACCTGGCTTAACAGACAAATGTAAAACTATAGGCTCAGAGATAAAAACAAATGTTTTACAAAATAGGCCCTTGATTCATTTTACAGAAAATGTTAATTGTTGGGAGGCTAAGTACTTAACCACTTACATTAGTGCATTTTTATTCTTGTCATTATTAATGCTAATAATCAAGTTGCATGAAATAAAAAATAATTGTCTACACTTAAAGGAGGGCAATATATTATCTGATCTTCCACGTAGGACATTTTCTTGGTACCTCATCTAAGAATTCTTAGCTAGCCTTCTCATCGCAAGCATATCTAGTAATACCTGGATATATATAGGCCTCTCTTATCTAAGGGTATGCTTAGAATTAAGTCCTTTTGGGACTACGTTGCTATATTCACTATCAAGAGGGATCTCGTGACTTGAAAGGCTTTGGAGCATTTTTGCAGTGTTTGGAGGGCTATAAAACAGTGAAAATTCTTTACCCCAGCAAAGGAGATTTGAGAGAGGAGCAGCAGTTGACAGAAGTGCTTATACAAACTTTTGTTTTTGTGGGGCAGAGGATTGGTCGCTAGATTTTAAAAGTCCATTATTATTTTAGAATACCACTTATTGAATAAATTCCTGAACTTGTTAAGCCCTAAAATATTTTTAAATTCATTAAGTATTATAAAACACTTAACTCAAAAAAGAACTCAAATAGAATAATATCCAAAAAAAGGCTTTACTAGGAAATAAATTCAAAACATTTAGGTCGTATAAATGTTGAGGCAGTCTTTCAAAAATAGTTTTATTTTGCAAGTTATGCTAGTTTATGATAATTTAAATACGTTTCTAGTAGAATTCTAGGACTTACCTTAAGAATTTAAGGCAAAAATAGGAGAAAAACAACCAGACTGAATCATCATTTCTTAGTCATTTTGCCTTAAAGGCCGGGTATGAACCTTTCTTTCCATTATTAATCGTTTAACAGTGAGAAAGTTATTAGCCAACCACAGCTTTACTTTATCATTTAAATGGGAATGGTACCTTCCTTATATGATTGTGTAGAGTGAAGATTAAATATTGGATTTTTAAAAATACGTGTTAACCCTTAGCATAGTATCTGACACAGAAAACTCTTAATAAACCCATCTATTATTATTAGACAGTTTTCAATGTTGCATTCTGACTGACTTTTCATCAAAAACTGCTATTTAGTGGGGAGGCCCAGAAAAGGTTAGAGTGTCATGCTAAAAGCTTGACCATTGCTGAGTTTTAAGAAAGGATTACTTTTGTTGTGTGATCTCAAGAAAATTATTTACCTCCCTTGCCGCAGTTTTTTATCTGGAAAATGGCCATAATAGTTCTCACCTAATATGATTGTTATGACTATTAAGGGACTCAAAAGAGTTTAATATATACTTTTTAAATTAATAATTTTTTTATGGTGACATTGGTTAATGAAATCTAATAAGTTTTATCTGTACACTTTAACAGTAAGGCATATATATATTTACACTGTGTGTTCACCTCCCATAGTTAGATTTCTTTCCGTCACCACATATTTAACCCCTTTTACCCCTTCTAACTCCCCCCTCCCCTCATCCTCTACCCTCTGGTAACCGCTAGTCTATTGTCCATGTCCATGAGTCTCTGTTTGTTCTGTTCATTTGCTGCTTTTAGGTTTATATCCCACATATAAGTGATATCATGTGATTTTCAACTTTTTCTGTCTGGCTTATTTCAGTCAGCATGATTATCTCGAGGTCCATCCGTGTTGTCGTAAATGGCAGTATTTCATCTCTTCTTATGGCTGAGTAGTATCCCATAGTATATATGTACCACAGCTTCCTTACCAATCATCTATTGTAGGACATTTCTGTTGCTTCCATGTCCCGGCCACTGTGAATAATGCTGCTATGAACATCGGTGTGCAAATATCTTTTCGAATATGAGTTTTCAAGTCTTTGGGGTAAATACCCAGGAGAAGATTGCTGGATCATATGGTAGATCCGTTAGAGTTTAATATTCATAAGTATTTAGAACAGTGCCTGCCACACGGTGTTTGTTAAATAAAGTAATAAAATTATGTAAATCACTAGCAATACACAATCATTAATCTGTTGATCATCTTATTAGGTCTCTAGGTTGCTGAGGAATCCCAAACCAGCGAACACTTTCTAGATGATCAGAGTTTCAAATAAAACCTAGATTGTCACTCATTTCATTTAGGGAGGTCACCTTGAGAGCTTTCTGCTGTGGAGAAATGTGAAGTTGAGGTGAACAAACTGTTGTCAATCATTCTCTTTAATAGATACAGGAAGGAAAATACTTTGCTTTATACTTGCTACTGAACAGAACTTCTTTTTTGACATGAAATTAGATGCTGCTATTCTTTTCTGTTGGTGGCATTCTTAAATCTGAATGGTTTAATTTGAGGAATGTCTCCTAGGACAAGAAAATCTAAGCATAGTTGATATCGAATAACTATGAAATATCCTTGAAGCTCGAGTATTGTATAGTCATAATAGTCATTAACAAATTGACTTTCCTGTACTAGACATACAATATGAACATTTGACTTTATATATTATGTTAAATGGACATTGCAGCCTATCCCAGTTTTTACTAAAAGGACACTATCAAATGCAGAATTTTAGCATTAACACATTCTGAAATGTCAAGTATGATAAAGGGTTTCTGTTTCTGAAAATGTTTAAAACTTTGGGTTAAATTAATAAAGTGTGGAATCCTCAGTGTCAAACTACATGATTTGACAACTATTAGAATGATCTCTTGTCAGTATATCTTCTTCCTCCCCGCTGCCCCAATGGTATTCCAAAATATATTTTAATTGATGTGATTTTTCCCCTCATCGGGATGAATTTCCACAGACTCTGCACTTTTGTTCTCATTCTTTTTTCATGTGTTCACCTTCTATTTTACTTTATTATGTGGCGGATTAGTAGGTGTTTGCTATTGACTGTTGACTGAATGGTCGTTTGTATTTTTACCCATTTCCATTCTAACTTTGTATAACTTTTTGGTTTACTGATATTTCCCACTTATTGTTTACTAATTTAATATGTTCTAAAGGCAAACATTTGGATCTCTAGGTAGATGTATTTAGTACGTTGAAAGAAATTAACTTTCAAAGAAAGCCTCATGTGAAAATACTTTCCATTCCTTTTAAATACTTTGTAAGACTGTATTTGGTTATTAAATTCTTAATACCAATGAATTACCACTGAGACCTGTAGATTCGTCATTTAATGACAAAATAGATAATTCTTGACCTGTAGAAAAAGTTATAATTTCAAAAGAATCCTTTTCTTAGGGAATTTGTCATCTAAAGCTTATAAATACCAAAAAATAATAATAATAATTTTACCCTTATATTCAAGCATATGTGAAATTTTATATGTCTTATCTACTAGAAAAGAGATGAAAATACTTGGGTGTTTACATGGCTGAAACCACAACTTCGGACCAAAAAGAAAATTGGTATGAATACTACCCGTAACAATGAGTTGATTCAATTTAGCAATTTTAAAGATTGCTGAATGAGATTGTGCTGTTGCAAAGTTCTTTTTAGATCCCCTTGG